ACGACCTTACTGGTACACTGTACAAAATCAATATGTTTAGCAAATGAAGCTATTTTTCTTTAGGTGTGGAGCAATCGCGGGATACATAAAAGTGTTCAAAATGCAGTATGACCCGTCGTCCTGTGTTCCCTCCCCATTGCTCGAACTACAGATGTAAGCTTTGGCATAAGCAGTCATCATCACCTCCAGGAGTCTGTTAACAGAGAGTCCAACACGTAATTGCAGATGGCAACAACGGGGGCCGCGCCATTGGTGAGTGGTTCGTTTCTCACGACCAAGTGAACTTCTCTGTCCTTATTGCCGTCGAAGATCGCAAAGTCTAGCCACTGCATTTCTACGAATGTTTTAAGAGCTGGATGTTTCAAGCAGAAGTCCACGTTTGCCTCAGCTACATCCGAAAACACAACGAGGAAGGGGCGTTCAGGAAGTCCCAGACTTGCGAAAAGCCTCTTGTATCGCTGTAGAGCCCTCAGTAACAAGAAGGTGAAACGCCCGTGGCCCCCACCTATCTCTAGAATGGTAACTGGTTGTGTGGGGTCTGCTTCTGGTCGTCGGAACCAGTCCTGGAGGAAGTTAATGATTATTTTTGCATAGGATCTACACAGGCGGCTGTTGCTCGTAACAAATGAAGGCACGTAATCGTGGGCCCAGGCCTCGATAGCCACTTGCTTGTAGTAATTGTCTAGCATCTTCCACATTATGGAGTCACACAGAGGCGAGTCCTCTTCCACACAGAACTTTTCTTGAGGGCATTGCTCAACGGGCGCCTCACCCCCCACGGTTGCTATCCCAGACCCCCTAAAGGGTGGGCCTTTATCTGCCATTGTTGCTCGTCAGATTCAACACAAAACAGGCAAGCTTACGAAGGCTTCGCAGCTGTGTAGTTAAGCCAGAGCCGTTTGGCCCTCACGTTGACGTGGGCTCTCCAGACGAATGCCGTTCGATGATGAGCTGTTCTCCGGAGCTCCTGGAGAAGCTCGGTCTTCCCGTTAAACCTGTATTATGCTAAATCTTTTCTGGGAAAGAATATGCGCTTCCCTCTCTGGCTTGTTCGGCAACCATCGGCCGCAGCGGGCCGGTCGGTCACCTAGTAGCGCCGACACGAGCGGCGGCTCGAATAGGCGGTCCTAACACGTAGAATTAAAGAGAGGGCTTCAAATGCCATATCTATTTTCTGCTAAAATTCAATGCGTGAGTTGCCGCAGCCATCCATATTTAAGGATCCCTCACGGAACCCTTCGTGGCGTGGGCGAGATGAGCCACCGGTCGCACCCTTTGGAATGCGAATATGGGGTGGTGTGCTAGGCAGCGGGCATAATTGAGCGAAACCAAATATTTTTTTGCTTCCTTTATATTCTGATTAGTGACCGTATGCTGCCTATCTCGGACTGGCAATGTGCAAGCTCGTCAACCGCCAGTGTCGGCTGTCAGACCTGTTCAGCACACCAGTGCAGTCTTGTTTGCTGGCAGCACGGTGACAAGCAAATGAATAAAGTCAGTAAAAAATTGATGCTAAGCCCATATCTTGAAAATGTAAAACGTACCTGACAGAGCGGGACCATCGATTTCATCGCCCGAATATGCGCTTGCCGACAAGTGTCTGCTTGTTGCCTCCACGTCTCTCGTTGCAAAGCTCATACATGACTGTTCGACCTTTTCAAACCCTCATATACTTCAAACAGTTTCTAAATCTTCTCAGGAGTGCGGCATCAGAGAAAGAGGTAGAGACAGAGCGGGGTAAGTGGGAACAAGTCTACGCAGACGTACCGTAGCACATCTTGACAAGACTGAACAGAAAATAGTCCTTCTTTGTACATGGGGTGCCCAATGCCTTACTTCTTCACTATCAGTAGCGGGGGATCTAGCACATTCAGCAACAGAAGGTAGATGCGCTGCTGGCGTTCTACGTGTTCAAGAGGCGCTGCTTGGTAAAACGTCAAGCAGCGCTTCTTAATTCTTACAAGGCCAGCAGCCAGCCAAAGGGGTCACTAAAGTTTTTGCTAGCGTTGCCTGCAGCATCATTCTGCGTATAAGTTATTCTCCGCATGCAAAGCTTTCTGAATCTAGCGAGAACACCTGAAATGCGCACCGAGAACTACGGATAGCGACAATTTGGGCTGCACAGTGCCATACTGCCTCAGAATAGCCTATTCTAGTTAAATGCCATCTACAGTGAGGCATTTGGCTACATTGCGAATGCTTTGGAAAATACGCATACCATGAAATGGAGGCACTGCGAAAGCTGTTCCGCGAACTCCACAACGGATGAGGAGTCATGTATCTGTTTTCGCTTGCTTTTGCCTTCTGGGTGCCTATTGAGTTCTAAGCTGATAATTCTGTAGGAAAGTGATCGTTGTGCTAATGCGAAAAGACTTTTCTCCAAGACTGCTAGTTGAGGAGTGGCACGAATGTAAAAGGTCCAACACTACGCCGCGTGTGCACTGGTCGAAGGCTGGCTCTGATTGTTTACTCCCAAACGAGATATCAAGATGAATGATTAACATCGCACCTGTGTAGAATTGGACAACGCTTTTCTCAGTCCAGAGTTATTGGTAGCTGCTGGTGAGTGCTCCAGTTTCCATACGAGTTTCAAGGTAAAACAGAGTCAGACAAGAAACGAGCCACAACACTAACGGAGCAGCGGGAACTGTAGAGTGCTTCTTTTTTGCCGCACTAGCCCCTCCCCCAAACTGAAGCACGGTAAGAAGTAGGCAACACTTTTGCGTTTTAGAGGGGTAATTAACTCCTATTGTAGCACCTAAAAGGTCCTCAGAAGCGCCACCAAGTCCATTTTCCTCATTTGTATGCAAGAATCAACATATTGTGTACATACCTAATTGCTTCCAAGCTGTAATCACAAAACTTCCTGGGGGCATCCTACTAAGAGGTAAGGCGTGTGTAAGGAACAAACGCTGCATTACATTCACACTGGAGCTCGTGCTGGTGCGTTGCGCCAAGTGCACCGTTCCTTTGGAATCATGAGACGAGCTAAAGCTTCCTTGCTTGGAAGAAGTATTGACATCGAGGTGCAAAGTTGCAATGACTCTAAATAATACTCCACCACGCAGAATGGAAATGCCGGTGCGTAGTGTGCCTGAAATTCATTCACTGAGTTGAATGCTGATGAACAGTTTAGAGTATCAAATTGTTGTTTTTATTTCTACGGATAGTGCTTCGCAGCAGCATAAGCAGCAATCTAAACCCATCTGCATCACTGCTTGCTTCAAGCCAGTACAAAAGTAACTGCACTTTGCCCAACAACGATCTGGCTGCCATTATGGGTGGGCAAACACGAAAGAGAGAAAAGGGTTTGCGCCACGCTTGTGACCAAGGGACACCTTGGAGTGCCCAACCGTGATATTGCACTGATTCCAAAATTAATGCTATCCCAGTGTGCACGGTTGGCTCCTTGTTTTGGCGAGAGTGCCCCCAAGAGAAAGCACGAAGCGTCTCGGGAGATGCGAGCGCGTGCTGCGGTGTACAATGCAGAGCAAATGAAATGAAGCCTCAGTGCATTTCGCTTGAGGCTCACTGAAATATGCGAATTCTCTTCAAGTGGTAGGGAGGATCAGTTGCAAGCTAAGTCAGCACCAAGGCTGCATCCATTGTAGCTTATCTGAGTGAGGAGTAATATATTGGCGCAACTGCATTTCTGCATGTCTTGTATCTAAGTAGAATTTTTAATCTGCATGTTTAGGCTTATCACTGCAGAACAATTGACGTAAGCCTTTAAGAGTGATGGACGCATAAGCAATATGCCAGGCAAGAATTCACTGCTACGCCAATGTCGAAACAAAACGAGCCCTAGCAATAGTGCTAAAAATCTGCATAATGAATGCAAGGGAGGAAAAATCAAATGAAGGTGTATTTTGCTAATTAGTCGGAGACTGCGAGATGATTGCAGTGTGCGCTATTTCGTAATGCGAGGTGATCGTTCCGTGAGTAGCTCGTGAAGTTTGTATTCAAGGACTTTATCTGAAAACAACTTCAAATTATCGCTTATTTTTTCCTTAAAAACTGGGCAATTATTGCTACGTTTTTGTTTGTGGGATGCCTCACTGTAGGTACCAGACATCAAATATCAACTGCAAGCCGTAAGTCGCTTGCCCGTTCTCGTGCACAGCAACGCTTTGGGCCAGGTTTGCCCCTACATTATTTGCCGAAAAGCTGATTGATGTACGTGACATTTTTTGCTCAAAAGGTTTCATACTTTTGAAGCTCATGTGGAAACAGCTGTCAAAAATTCATGTAGGGCATCGAAACGGTAACGCGTGTCCGAGAAAAGACATAGTCTCAATGCCGACGTCTTGAACCCAAACGGCTAATTTTTGATAACATTAAAATAAACTATTACCATATTTTTAATTTAATAATGAAAAGAACAAAGAAAAATACGCGTTTCAGAAAGGAGCTCCGAGCAGCTGCGATTAGAGGACCCAGTGGGCCCCGCCCTCCCCGACACGGCTTGCTGGTCTGACAGCGGTCCGCCTCTCGCTCGCTGCTGCCGTTAGGCCTCTCTCACTTATTCAAATCTTGCACATCTACATGTTTAACCAAAATTAACAATCATTAAGTGAATTATTAGATCTAATCTTCGCATTTCATTTGGCCGGTGCTTCAGCTTGCTTGCAAGACATTGTTTTTGAAACCAACGGTCGAGTCTTCTGTGCCCTCCACAGAGTCTTGGGCTCACTATCGAAAGGACAGAACTCTTATGACCGTTACTACTTAAGCTTCTAAAGGGTTCTTTATTTGATTCAGGTAAGCTGCAATCAAATCGTAGGCTAGGGCCTGCACGGCAAACGCTTGACCCAGTCGTTAGGCTCGTTGTCACTACCTCTTGGCATTTTGGGAGAAGCCCATCTAAATGCCCTTAAGCAAGTTTCTCTTTTTTTTGACATGCCTTAGCTTCACTGATCTAGAAGTGTGCCAGACTCTTCAGCAGTCCCAAACATTGTTTTCTTGTCTCTGCTGCGCGTTTCCACTGCCAAAGAATCACGATGACAATCCTGTTCGGTCCTCGCTCCTTTGTGGGAACATTCGGCCTTGTCGCCTCATTCGTCTTTGTCGCGATTTCGCAAGCTCATGGTCCAATACACCCCGTAGAGCCCAGCGGTCCACAGCGTCTTGCTTGGGAGCAGCCAGGTACGCCAAAGTAGTGATGCATTCATGTTGTTTCGGCAGTTAATGCTTTTTCTGTTATCCTGCAAGCATTTCCAATACTGTTACACAACTGGCACAACCCACAGGCAGTTGCGAACGCTGTGAGCACCCAGAACTATGACTGTGCTGCGATTGTTTCTCAGAAGCTCCTAAGAACGAAGGCAGTAGCGGCAGCGAACAAGGCTCTTACCAAGGTAGTGAAGAGGGCTTTAGTGAAGGCACTGTTCCTCCTCCTCGTTGGCATGGTGAAGCATTCTTTATTCCTGGAATGCCTAGTGGCTCAGTCGTTTTAAAGGACGAAGAAGAGGAACAGGAAACCACGGAGGTCGCACGAGAACCAGTTCTAACGCGTACAAGAGAAACGCAGGATATCCAGAGTTCAGGAAGAGGAGCTGTTCCAAACGGAGGCATGCGGCTGCCCTACTCACAGGCTCCTCCGGAGCTGCCTAGGCACTGGAGATCGCACAGAAGAGGGCCCAAGCACGCGCACCACCCAAGCTGGACTGCCTCTCAAGACCTTTCGAACGAACAGGTCGCGGCGGGATTGCACGCAGCAGTGCGTGCCTATCAGCATGCGCGGGATGCTGGGGATCTCCCAGCAGGCATCCCCAACCCTAATAGATTCCCAAGAGGCACGGGAACCCCGCAGGCAAAAGGCATGAACAGAGGCGGCTCGCCGCAGCTCTTTCGCGCTCTCCAGAGTGCTCAGTTCCCGCGGCGCACGGGAACGCCCCAGTTAAAGGCCACTACAAGGCGAGGCGCTTCACCTTTTGTCCCTCCAGGAAGCCAAGTTCCCCCGTTTACAGGAAGTATGGAGACGGCCCGGGGGACAAACACTCATAGAGAAGAATATCCCCTAGTTTCTGGAGACTCCCAGAACACTCGACTCCGGCCTGGTGGCCCAGCGCTCCACCTCAGACTCGATGGCGTCAGAGAGGAGCCTCACTGGCGAGTCAAAGCTTCACAAGTCCCGAGAAGTACGGGCACCCCTCGCATGACTCTCCACACCGAAGAAGACTCCCAAAAGTCAGTCCATCTGGCTGAGGGACTGCAAGGCACAGGCACGCCGCGGCTGATTGCCAGCAGTTGCGTCGAAATTCCCTGGCTGTTCCCCAGTGAAACAGACGAAACCCCACAATTTTACCAAGACCACCAGGTCCCACGAGGAACGCCTCTGCATAGGGGCCACGTGAGAGGCAACCCTTCAAGAGCTGTTCACAGCGCTCAACCAATGAGAAACCCGGGTGCTTCCTGGGCAAGAGGAAACAAAGGGGAGAACTCATGGCGAAGTGCACACGCGATGAATATTTCACGTGGCACTGGAACACCTCAGCTTGCAAGCCACAGCAGAGAAGGCTCCCCCACAGTCGTTCACGGCATTGGTGGTCCTCTATTTCCACAAAGCACGGGTACTCCCCGCTTGGGTGTTGATATTAAATTCGGCGACTCGCAGTCAAACAGTCCAGCTGGAATGAATGAAGATTACATCAGCGACCTATATGAATATGATGGATTTTTTCCTACAATAGATGGCTCCATGCCGCGGAAAGAAGAGGAATTTTTCGGGCCGTATTACCCCTATGCAGAAGAAGAACAGGGATTTGTTGTTCCTCACGCCATTACGAGCTGCACTTCTGATAGCCCTCAAGTCGTAAGATATTTCACATGCCTTACCCTCAGGTGCTTTGGTACCAGCACCAGATTCTTAAATCGCGCTTATACCTAAAGTTGAAAAATAAACATTTCAGGAGACACGTCAGTTTTTTTGCTCACTGCTGCATATTCTGGCTGGCTTCGATCTTCAGGTATACGGACAGGCATTTCACGTTTCCAGGAGTACTAACGAGCGCTTCCAGCATCAGAAGGGAGAGCTGCAGAATCTTCAGACCAGTGTAGACTGTCTTTCTGAGACTGGCCACACAAACGAAGAATCTCTTGCATGCAGCTGGCTCATTACTATGGGGTCCTATCACAACTCGGGCATTTGGCTGCACCAAGCAAGGAAAACGCTAGAAACGACTCACCTGTGGATGGGGACAGAGAATATTCGCCATGCGCTTCTCTACCAGGCAATGCTACAAGATGTGCTTTGCGGGCGTCAGGCATCGCGAGCTATGTCAACGGAGAGACTTCGAGCAAACTCTGATAAGCAGCATTCAGAGGAAATCTCGCTTGACCCGTCTTTTATAGCGGTTCAGGTAGCTATGTCAGTTCTGTCTGAGGACGATGTCGGTCACGTGCAACCTGCACAAACGGGACGCTCTGCGCATGGTTTTGCCGATGTTTCCGCAGCCAGCACAGTGGCTCATGAAGACGACCCAGAAAACATGAATGCGGCAGCTTCTCTGTTGGCTTCTTCTTTGTCCCGCTCCCTTTGGTTGGAAGATACGAGTTTCAGGGCCTCTTCATCCTTGCTTGATTCTTTTCCTGCCATCTCGCAGCATTCTGAACCACCAGCCGCAGTGCATAGCTGTTTTTCATCACAGTCTGAAAGCTACAACGCAGCACAGTTTGCCCTAAACGGTGAAGGGTTCCATGAAGGCTCAACGGCAAGTGTTTTTTGTTCTCCTGATGGTCACCACCCAGAAGACCTGATGTTTAATGCCGAGTTCGCCATGAGCAGAGGCATGATGGGGTCTATACGCGAATGGAGATCAACAGAAACCCAGGAAGATGTTCAAGCACTGCCCTGGACCAATGACCCTGAAGCAAATTTGACTCACCGTGCTCACATTGCTTTGGGTAAACGTCACGGCCCAGCAGGGTCGCGAAACTTTGTAGCGGAGGAGCAGAGAACTAATGCTTTTTTTAACAGCACCTCTCTTATCAATGAGTCCGGGAAATCCATTCTCGAATTGCTGGGAAAAATTCCGGAGCAGACGGAGTCATCTCCAACAAGTGTATTCTTCTGTGGATCCATAGTGTCTCCGGCCAAAAATTTAGATACAACGGTGAGCTTATTGCAACCAAGATAGTAATGAGCCAGCCTACAATAACAAATGTATGAGCCAATTTTAAGTTGTGCAATTTTCGTTTACCACAAAATTTACTTGTAACCGTAAACTGAGAATGCAACAAATTACAAAGAGTCGAATGATGGAGCAAGGCACTGTGACACTAAGGAAGGAATCAAAAATGAAAGTTTTAATGTCTCGGCCTTTACACGTGTGTCCTCTCATTTTTTGTAGCTTATCCAAGTACAGTGCAATCCCATGCGCGATGAGCGGCTCGATAGCGTGAATGCTTCGCACCACTCCCTGGAGTCTTCTTCCAAAATATCAAGGAGCAGAACAGAAAGTCAGGGCCTCTTCAATCGTCGTTGCAACTGTTTACAGCAGCAGCCAATTTAACAATTTTCGCGAAACTCGCATTTCTGGTAAATATGTTATCATCCTCATGCGGAATCAATATGTGCGGCCTGCGCACTTGTGCATTTGCTCTCAGGTATTTCGAGAAATGAAACGCCCTTAGGGAGAGCTTCGTCAAACATCACAGCTTAACTATCCACGCGCGACCATGTTGGACCAACCACCAAGTTTTGCCAGCTTATGCATGCAGCAAGCCGGCAAAACACTAGATTCAATAAACAGAAATGGTGGTTTTGTGTCTAAATTAAAAATGGACTTGAATTGTTTTAATGCACCGCATGCCTGGTCGCAGATGTCTGATTCTCTTTTGGTTTTTTTCTCAATTTGAACGTCGATGTACAGCAGTAGGCTCATTGACGACCGCTTGTGGAGAATCCTCAAGCATTCGCATGCAAGGTGCTCTTTCTAGCACATCTTGGAAAAATTGTATCGCAAAAAGAACCAAAGACTTGTACTAAAGCAGAAAACGACAATTTGCTCAATTCAGTAATATTTGGCGCATGAGCGTTTATCCCGATTGTTTGTTCGGAAATGCTGTTTGCTTGCTCTTTCTAGCATGGGTTTCAATTTCATTCCCTGTAGCCGTAGCTGCAGTTCAGCAAGTCGCCATAGTTGGATAGCTACCTAACGTCTAGGACAAATGCATGGCTTCATAGAAGGCAGGGAATGCTACTAATATTTAGGAGGCTTCATCCTCTAGTCTCGTATTGTTATGGATGTTGGGAAGGGTGGATATTACTGTGCAGCAGCTCTCGAACCTTCCTTTCGCCATTCGCACCTTCATAAAAGTTTGAAACTGTTGCTGGGCGAAGTACAAAATAACGTAGGAAAAACTGTCAACAAGACTTACGGCGCTGTTCATGCTAAGTTTTCTACCAGGGTTTGGAAGAGGCCGCGTTACGATGCTCGTCAGTTCATCCGTTCCGTTTTTCCACGAGGCCTCACTGCGTGCAGAGGTACTAATCATTTAGTGATGAAAAAACAACATAGTACATAACTGTTGCAGGGATGCAGTTCGGGAAAATATAGGATATGTAGAGCTCGCAAGTAGTGTCTAGAATATTCTCTTTTTTATTTCTTAAGATGTGCGTCATGTTTATGTGACGCCCTGTTCTCAAGCTGATTTCCTGTCAAGCGCAGTGGCATGGCATTTTAGGTAGGCTCTGGCGGTGTCCATGCACTGAATATGTGTTTCTTGTGTTGGCTGTCGAGATCCTGTATTGTACACGCACCAATTCATGGCGTCCACACCTACTGTGAAACAAAAGAGAACTACAAATGGCTAGACTACAAGAAGAAACGTATGGCACCTATATCACTTTGAAGCAACTGTTTTCAGTGGAGCCCCGAATGCAACCTCAAACGGCAGCGTGAAAGTTTCAGAAGCCTCTCAGAGAGGTCCTTCGGAAGCATAAAAGTACGGCTCTGCACAATTTCACAAGATTGAAAAAATGAAAAGAATGGCTACACGTAGCACAATCGCCTTCCTCGTCAATACGAAGAGAAGGACTGAAAAAGCGCCGCCCCACAGCTCAAACGCACCTCAAGGCGAGCAGACATAGCTTGTGAGGTAGTCTTCAGCTGCGAACGTGGTATTCAAAGGTGCGATTGCATATGACGTGGTAGTATAAAGGCTTTGTGAATTTTGAACAGTTGCAAGAATAGTTTGCCGTGGCGGGTCATGAAATTTTGACCACTATTAACGAGCGAATTCGTCGACACTCCCCATGTAGGTACCCAAAGATGGCATTTACGCATAATCAGTCCGATTATGCGTTACCACGCGTTTTCTTCAAGTCAGAATAATCACTTTAAAGGATTTCTGTGGACAAAGTGTAATTCCTTGTGTTTTTGCATGATTTTCTGCCGCCTGTATGCGTAGGTATCAAGAAAACAGCTTTTCAGTTAGGTGGGCCATAATTATCCACGGTATTGGCTCAGAAGACGAGCTACTTGCTAGAATAATGGAAATGCACTGGCATGGATTTCTACAGTTGGTTCATATCTTAGTGCCAACACTTACGATATTTTGGCCGAGAACAACGTATGCATGCATAGATTTTACTGTAAGCTGTTAAAGCTCACAAATGCCCAGTGAAACAACTTCAGTGAAGAACGAGGATTTCCTGAAACCGTGATTTAGGGTGCAAAAACGTATGGGACCATTCCTTAGAACTCAAAAGTAACACGCCTTGAAACTGCTCAATAGTGTAGCCTTGCAGTCCACTGACCATTAGGTGCAGTTGACAAAGCTTCATAAGGTTGAAAGTCAGTATCGTTCCTCTGTTTTCCCACATCAATGCATTGTGGCTCAGCAGGTGAGGGACATTTCGTTTCCCAATTACTGAATTCCTTGAATCTTCAGACGGACATTTAAAGCCAAACTTCTTTTTTGCTGTAGCAGTGAACTCCACCTGAATTTTTCCATAGGAAGGTTTAGGTTTTCACAGTGTTATCTTAGACCGGAGGTTTCATCTAACAGATTTCTTTGAGAATATTCTAGACACTACTTGCGAGCTCTACATATCCCTATGCTATCCCTAACTGTATCCCTGCAACAGTTATGTACTATGTTTTTTGCATCACTAAATGGTTAGTACCTCACCACGCAGTGAGGCCTGGTGAGATTACAAAAATACGGGAAAGTATATCAAGAATAATTTTAGATCAGGTGCTCAGAAAAACCAGTGACTTTTAAACAGAGTCGGCATGCTTTGTTTTAGGTGACTTCCAGCGTTGAATATTACATATGAGTTCAGTCGAACAATCCATGTATCGAGTGTTTATGCCTGATTGCTGTGACTTCGCTGGCCGCAACAATTAATCATGGAAATAGCCTCGTGCTGTGGAGCATTCCACTCAAAATACTTCTAATTTATAGATGAATGCGGTAGGAATGGAGCAATAGGGGAGTTAGGTCCTGCATGCACTGCTACAAGATCGGGTTCGGTGCTGCTGAACCTGATGAGCAGCGACTGTTCAGTCAGCGGGATCTGGCGCTGCGAACCTGGTCCGGTTCTACGTTACGTCTCCATAACTCCTTTTTCACCCATAATGAAATAGCTGGCACGTTTTTCACATTACGAAACTACTTTAGGATAAAATTTAGAGCAACACGTACGTTGCTCGCTCGTAAGCCATTCGTGGCCGAGTTGAGCTCGCCCCTCACAGGAATTACGTTACCTGTGCAGTACTTCACCAGTAAATTACTAGATATGGTATTTACAAGGACAGATCTAAAAGGGAACTCATGTGCTTTGAATGCACAACATTCTGCGGCGCCGTGTTTATCACGGGGAAGCATCGTGGGAAGTTGGGTACTACATTGGAAATTGTGCCTATCTTGCCAGAGCTCGATAGTGTCGGTTTATAAGAGTAGCATCATCTAAGGGGCTAGTTAAACAGCAATTGTATAAGCCTTTATACGTGACAGCCTTGGTGGTGGGAAACGAAATCGCTGCGCAATAGCGCCATGTTTGGGGCCTCATGTGTACAGTGGCAACGGAAACAAGTTACCAACGCCTCTCCGAACTGGAAGTCACGTTACCAGTTTTATTGGGGAAAGGGGGCAAAAGAGAACCAATCACGCAATAGGGATACACCGGCCAGCAGCACAGGGAAGCCTTCAAGTGCGCGAAGTACTTTCGAGAGGAGTATGTGGTCAGCAGGCCACTAAACTTGAACTAAGGGCTTGCTCAAATCAATGCGCCAATTGCCTAAAAGTGGTCGAAAGTTTTCCACAATCGTGGCTGGAGCTACTCTGAGAAACTCACCATGTGCGAAGCTTAGAGTACTAGGGACCCAAGTTTGCTTTGCAACATGAGTATGGCTCTAGTCATCCAAACAGAGCTAATCGGCCACCATTGCGAGATATTAAAAGTTGCTGGTTCCCCAAATACTTTCACTAGCCCGGCGAATGCAGAGCGCTCACAGCTCACAGTTCGGGGACACCATCTGAAGTGCGTTCACTGCGGCTAGCGTCTAGCTTTAATGTATTGATCACGCAGTGAAAAGGCTACCAACGTAAAAAGAAAGTGAAATTGTTTCTGGTGAGTCTTTACACAGACATATCTCCCATGATCCGGCCAATCTGATAAACTGAAAATCTAGCTTAATGCCAGGTGGTGCCATCTAGCGCACACTGGCTAGACGTGGAAGGAAGACGGCCAACCAGAGAGGGGTGGCCGACGACCCCTGCATGCTACAGATACGACATTCTGGTGCGAAAGGAGTTTCGACTGAAGACAAAAGTGGTAACTACACCTGCACGACTACCCTATAAACGATTCAGATTGAAAGGAGGGAGCAAAAGAAGCGGGTCGACAAGTTAATACGGCAAGCTTGAGCAACCTCGGCCAATCTTTGTGATCCTTTGCTATGGCCGCATCTACTACAGGCCCTAATCAGGACGAACAGAGAATGTGCCTCACGGTTTGATAAAGTTCATCAGGTAACATTTCTATGTGCATTTCTGCTGTAAAATAAAACAGATGGGATGCACACAGAAGGTGACGAGGATTCGTCCTGTGGTGACGCCAATCTCAAATGCACTATCTCCAATGAGTGTCTGCAGTTTACAGCACTACAATGTAGCCCAGTAGTGGTCTTTAGGGTTATAAACTCCATTATACGTGGATTGATGTAATAAGTGGAAGTAATTACCGTGCAAAGGAACTTAGTCTTCTGACAGTCAGGCACAGTGTGCTCTGCATTTAGGCCTAGGGAAGAAGCTTCAGTGTGCAGAAAGGCCACGCAGGTTGAGGGAAACACTGGATCGAAAATAGATGCGTTGTTGTTTGCGGTGTTTCTACGGTGTTTTTAGTGAATAATGGTTGGCTGTGGAGCTGTCTGACCAAGACGAACGAGTGACGGACTTACAAGCCAGGAAGAGCTTATCTCACTAGAACATCTACAGACACAGGAAACACGACGCACTTGCAGAGGTATTCAAGACGGTATTTGGACAGCGAGCTTTGTTTTGCGACGCACTGCCCGCCAGAATGCCACCGCGGCTCCCCCTTGGGTATTCACCATTTATTTCTGCCTGAAGTGCCTAGATCGCCCAATGAAGCTCTCTCTGCAACCTAAAGCCGCCGATAAACTCACTATTATGGTTAGGAGCTACCTAAAAT